CTAGAAGATTTGCTCTATCAGATCATTACTAGAACTGCTCCAAACGTCCAAAGCCATTTAACACATTGCGTACCAAGCCGTTTTTGCGCTGGCGAGCTCGCATGGCCGCTCGTGCATTGCGCATCGTGCGCCACATGGTGGCGCATGCGGCCATACGGGGCAGACATATTTCGAAATTCCTTTTGTAGGGGTACTTTCTCACTTTTGTATTCTTACAATCAGATTAGGTTACAATTTTATGATACTGCATCATATTTTTGCCTATTCGGCTTGTTATAAACATTCCTAGTAGTTAACGAATAGTTACACCACAGCAATAGTGATGGACCCAAAAATCTGCTTTGACCATTTTCTGGTGCAAACTAGCGACGGCAAACAAGTTTGTTCCATTACCCCACAATCTGCTTAAGCATCTTTATTGAACAGCAGCGACGATCATTAAGATTTGCAGAATATTTGTAGACGCATTTCACCCTTCACCGGACCATCGCAGGAAGTGGGTAGGTTAACTCCATAGTTTGCCGTACATTTACCGCCTAATTTGATACCAGGGTAGGGCAATCGTGAGTATGATTCTGAGTATAGGTATTTCTGAGTGCCTAGTAGTATGAGGCGTCGAAAATATACCGCCGAAAGACATGTGAGGTGGAAAAAGCGCTCATGACGCCTTAACGCTGATATTCTGCTGCGCATCACCTTCTTTTGGTGATTTTGGATGCAACACATTATTCCAATTCATTTGCATTACGTCTAGATTGTGAAATTGCTTGAAAGAATGCCTTTTATTCAAGCAAAATCCGTTTCCAAATTAGGCATTAATTTGAATATCATGTACAAATACTGATTAATTATCTAGAGACGTCCCACTCGAATATGTTGTCCTCTTAGTGATAAATCGTATATCTGCACAAACACGAAATAATAAACGTCAACCGTTGTGAAGAAAAGATCGTGCGCCACCATGTGGCGCACGCGGCCACACGGAGCAGGATACGGAAGCATGGAAATGTCGTGCGCCCACGCATGTGGGCGCACTGTGCGGTACGCATGTGTTAAACGAGATGATTTATCCGCGCAGGTAAGACTGTTTGGTGGTGTAGCGGTCCTCAAATGGCGATTAGTAGCCTATTTCATTCTTGGTGTATTTTCTTTCATCTTATATGGAGTGGGGGAATCGTTGGGGATGTACAGTTTATCCTCAATTTTTGGCGCGTCTGTACTTTCGATACTATCAAAATTGTGCCCATCTGTTAAGAAGAGCTCGAATTTTCCTTAGATCACGTGAAAGCAGCTAAACCTAGGTTTTGTGGTGAAGCTATGTGATTTTTTGGGGTGCGTCCTACTTGGGGTGTCGGTACGCACTTGGCTCAAGAGTTATCCCCGCTCTGCTAACTCTTTCGAAGGCCTACTAAATTTGTTGAATTTTCTCAAAAGAAAGTCTGACGATGAGAAACTTCGGTTATGCTTGAGAATCCACAGCGGTTGTCAAACAGTACTTTCCATAACTTGGTTGAAAAGGCGCGAGAACCTGGTGGAAAGTTTATTTGAAATCCCTCCATGATTAGTGGATACTGGCAACGCTGGCGAAAAAGGACTTCGTGCTGGTAAACTGGCGTCTTTCCGAGCATAGCATGGCCCAGCCCTTTCTTGCAAACTTCTACTCCTTTACAAATCACGAATTTTCATTTGATCGACTCTCAATAGTAAGAGGAGTTCATCCATTTTATGATTCCTGCAACCTGCAGGCAAAATAGCTAGCACGTCGTAATCTCGTGTGCCTGTCTATACAACGGCAATGTTACGACTAAGGAGCTCTCATGTTCAGACTGTCATTTCGAGCCAAGTCGAGTAGGTTGAGAGTCCCTACAATCGAGAATACATCAGCGTCCTTGATTGACAGCATCGAACGCCATGATTACGATGGAAGTGGAACTACATCGGACATTGTCAGTTGAACGACTTCGAAGGTGAATCATTTTACAGTCGTTTTCTGAAGTGCCGAATAGATGTCAGTTTGAGTACGTCGATTGTTCAACCCATTGATGGCCAGCGTTAGTCCGGTGATTAAGTGTACTGTCTGATGATTTTTTGAGCGCCGAAACTGCATTTTTAGGAAAACACCGCTTAAAACCCTTTGAGCTCATCTTAGCGGCGGGGGTGTGGTTCACTAGGACAGAAAGCGGTTTATTGCGTATCGCAGCGCGGAACATTTTTTGCTGCAGGAGCCTCATGTCCACTGCTGATCATCAGTGGGCCCGAGATTCCCGCAACGAAAAATGTTTCGCGCTGCGAAACGCGAAAAATTCGCTTCCTGTCTTAGAGAGCCACACCCTAGCGGCGGTACCACAGGTACCAACGCCTCTCCTGCGAATGATCGTTTTAAGATGCAAAAGCTCGTACGGTTATTTCTGTACTCTTCTTCAACATGGCCTTTATCTTGTTTACTGCTTTTGAGGAAGGCTGCCGCTAGGGTGTGGTTTTCGGCAATGTTACTATTTTTATCCTACTTTTATTATTTTTATCCCATTGGACATCGGATGAATGCGATCACATCGATCGCATACTGCAACTTCGGTCTCGGAGACTGAAGCATGACCATCGACATATCGCGCCTGTGCCATAGGGGACGAATTCCTTTAGTCTCGACTACAAGGATATGTCCCCGCTTGGGAAAGGTGGACGCGTCCCTGGCCAGGGCTTCTTGCACCCAGCACCAGAATTATAAATACTTTGTAGTCATTCGAAAGAGGAAGAGAATTTGTAGAAGTGATTGGTCTTTGATCAACCCCCCGAGCGAGTTGAGCGAAACTTCCCCAATTTGTTAGCGCGTAAATTCTCAGAAAGGACCAAAAAATTGGATCTATATGGCTTGCAGTAGGTTCGATAGAATCTAGCAATTTTAATTGCAATTTTTTGGCATCGGATTAAACGAGAAAGCAAACAAGAAAAGAACAGATAAAAAATCAAACGCATTTATTTACAATAACAGTGTAATGACAGGAGGAATCTGATCAAGATCGTATGCTCAACCGAGCCTTATCCATAATCTCCTTCTTAATTTTCGGATATGTGGGGTAGAGCTTCAGCACATGATGGCATACTTCAATACAATCGAATAGTCGCTTGCATTTCAGAAGATTGTACGCTAACTTGTACCCTGCAATAGAAATATCTATGCTCACAAATTGATTGTTTTCATAGATCGTAATTATACAATCGAATTCTCTGGGCGAGTAAACAGTAACATGATTGACTTGCATTCTACAGTTTAACTTGCAGTTGCCTACAGTTTACTTTACCATCCCTTCAAAAAACGAGAAGAGCGTGTGTGCAGACCATACACCATAAATGACGACCGTCGCCATTTGCGGTGTGTGGTCTGCACCCGACGCTCTTCTCGTTTTTTGAAAGGGAGGGTAAAGTAAACTGTAGGCAACTGCAAGTCAAGCTCACGGCATGGAGAATTCGATGTGATAATTCGATCTATGAAAACTATCAATTTGTGAGCATAGATATTTCTATTGCAGGGTACAAGTTAGCGTACAATCTTCTGAAATGCAAGCGACTATTCGATTGTATTGAAGTATGCCATCATGTGCTGAAGCTCTACCCCACATATCCGAAAATTAAGAAGGAGATTATGGATAAGGCTCGGTTGAGCATACGATCTTGATCAGATTCCTCCTGTCATTACACTGTTATTGTAAATAAATGCGTTTGATTTTTTATCTGTTCTTTTCTTGTTTGCTTTCTCGTTTAATCCGATGCCAAAAAATTGCAATTAAAATTGCTAGATTCTATCGAACCTACTGCAAGCCATATAGATCCAATTTTTTGGTCCTTTCTGAGAATTTACGCGCTAACAAATTGGGGAAGGTTTCGCTCAACTCGCTCGGGGGGTTGGTCAAAGACCAGTCACTTCTACATATTCTCTTCCTCTTTCGAATGACTACAAAGTATTATAATTCTGGTGCTGGGTGCAAGAAGCCCTGGCCAGGGACGCGTCCACCTTCCCAAGCGGGGACATATCCTTGTAGTCGAGACTAAAGGAATTCGTCCCCGACGGCACAGGCGCGATATGTCGATGGTCATGCTTCAGTCTCCGAGACCGAAGTTGCAGTATGCGATCGATGTGATCGCATTCATCCGATGTCCAATGGGATAAAAATAATAAAAGTAGGATAAAAATAGTAACATTGCCGAAAACCACACCCTAGCGGCAGCCTTCCTCAAAAGCAGGTAGAAAGATAAAATGGATGTTGAAGAAGGGTACAGGAAGAACCGTACGAGGTTTGGCATCTAAAACGAATCATTCGCAGGAGAGGCGTTGGTACCTGTGGTACCGCCGCTAGGGTGTGGTTCACTAAGGACAGGAAGCGACTTTTTCGCGTTTCGCAGCGCGAAACATTTTTCGCTGCGGGAACTCGGGTCCACTGATGATCAGCGTGGACCTGAGGTTCCCGCAGCGAAAAATGTTTCGCGCTGCGAAACGCGAAAAAGTCGCTTTCTGTCCTAGTGAACCACACAACCGCCGCTAAGATGAGCTCAAAGGGTTTAAACCAGGGTGAATAACGGTCGAGGAAATCCTCGACAGGGGGTCGTATTTGCTCCGATGAGAGTTGGGAGGGGGTCGTAATCAAAAGGTTCATCAACGGACACAACGGTGCTGCTGCCACTTATTTGCTGTCATCATTAGTTTCACAAGTTGTAGTTAGCCTAATGCAAATAATATCTTACAACTGTCTGGAATTAAAATTTAAATGGAAAGTGGTTGTTGGTTTGGTTCGTAGTGATCAGTATGGCATAGGAAGGCAACGCGTCCTGCAAAAGAATCGTAGGGAAAGGGCAGCGAGTATCTACTCTAGAATGATGTACATGCTTCGAGAACTTAGTGGAGGAACAGCATCTTGGTAGAAAGTTCAAAACAGGCAGATTCGCAGCCTTCTTGGCATCATCAGATCCTGCAACCGCAAGCGTGTCATTCATCAGAACGGGTTGGAAAGGAAGCGATTTGAATAAAGGAATGATCAGACATCATGACCACAAGAGTTATCCTAATTAGTTAATACTGGAAATATCTTTTGGTGTGCTTAAGCAAGTCGTCACTAGGACAAAACACCTTCCCAATGACTCCGAGTGGGGTCACTGCATGGCGCATACAAGAACGGAATGGATCTGCGCCAAGTGCATCATTTTCAATTTACTCCATCGAACTGACGTGTACAGAAGCATTTTGAAGGTGTTCAAAGAAGTTCCCTACTACGGCGAGGGAGTAATAGAGTTTTCGAGTGGCTTCGAAAATTTCCTTGACATTTCCTCGACGCAGATTTCTCGCGAACTAGAAAGCGTTCGAAACAACTGGAGCACCTATCAGAAAGCGTAAATCTTCTACTTTACAACGCTTTCCTCCGATTTTCAAAGCATTGCCAATGAAGACAGCTACTGTCTTCCAAAGAGTGGGAACTCGCATGTAAATTTCAATTTCCTCGACAATTTCTCGACGTCTCCCACTCTCGAGAATAGGCGTGCTTAGAAAAACGCTCAGCACAATTTAGAAACTAGAAGTCTTGTGCATTCAAAAGCTGCCTTCACTTTCTGAAATGGTTATCAATGAAGAAAGTTATAGTCCTTTGAATAGGGGTACATTTGACGATTTTTCCAACTAGCGCGCTCTAGGCACAGCGCGCGACGCGATCGCGGGTAGTTAGCGCCGCTATACTGGAGCGCGAGACTGTTCAACTGTGTAGGGGCAGCCTACTTCAATGTTCCACTTTCCGGCCAATGTGGCAAAGGTTAAATGTCTTTAAAGGAAAGAAAGAATTGAATCTAGCATTTGGATCAAGCCGCATTTGCGTGGCAGCGGCGCTGCGTCCCTCTCGCACATCTGAAACTAGCATTTTTTGATATGAAACCGGATGTGCAGAGGACAAAAAGGGGTCGTATCAGAGTCCGTGTTTTGGAGGGGGTCGTAAAGAGGCGGTTATTTCCTCGACATTTTCACCCTGTTTAATGTTGAAGCATTTCGCGCTCAAAATTCACGAATACTATCAACACAGCTCTACCTATCACAATGTTGACTGAGAGCCTAGCATACATTATACGAAGTTCAGAAACGACTGTAAAATGATTCACCTTCGAAGTCGTTCAACTGACAATGTCCGATGTAGTTCCACTTCCATCGTAATCATGGCGTTCGATGCTGTCGAACCTGACGCGAAGTATTCGATTGTAGGGACTCTTCAACCTACGAGGTTTGCTCGAAATGACGAGCATTGAGAGCTTCTGTAATCATTGCTGTATAGACTAGGGAGGTAAGCAAACCAGCCCTTTTGGCGTTTCGGCTGGGACCGTATGCTGAATGTTGGGGAGGGGATGGGGTCCCCAACGGTCGACGGTTTACTTCAACTCGGTTGGTACGATAGGAGAGTACTGACGCAAGTGGTGCAGCTGGTCCAGCAGCTCCGCCAGAAGGGCTGGTTTGCTCACCCCAGGACTAAGCCTTGGAGAGGGGACGGACCCGTCCTCTCTTTAAGGCTTAGTTCTGAGGTAAGCACCAAATTGTGGCGGTTCTAAGGACCGAGTTGAAGTGGTCCGTCCACCGTCGGGGACTCCATCCCCTCCCCAACATTCAGCATACGGTCCCAGCCGAAGCGCCAAAAGGGCTGGTTTGCTTACTTATTTTGCTGGCATGCAGGAATTCATGAAGTGATGAAACCGTACGTACTATTGAATGCCGAATCAAATGAAATTCGTGATTTTGTAATAGGAGTAGAAAGTTTGAAGAAGCTGGCCATGGGTATGGGTCGCGAAAAAGACGCCAGTTTATCCAGCACGAAGCTTTTTCGCAGCGGGTGCCCAGGTCCACTAATGATTGGGAGGGAATTTCTAAATAAAACTTCCTACCCATGGGTTCTTTCGCGGCCTTTTCAACCAAGTTATGGAAAGTACTGTTTGACAACCGATGTGGAACTTCTCAACATAACCGAAGTTTCTCATCGTCAGACTTTCTTTTGAGAAAATTCAACAAATTTAGTAGGCCTTCGAAAGAGTTAGCAGAGCGGGGATAACTCTTGAGCCAAGTGCGTACCGACACCCCAAGTAGACGCACCCCAAAAATCACCATAGCTTCACTCCACAAAACCTAGGTTTAGCTGCTTTCACGTGATCTAAGGAAAATTCGAGCTCTCCTACAGACTGGGCGCAATTTTCATAGTATCGGACAGTACAGGACCGCCGCCGCGATCAAAAGTTGAGGAAACTGTACATCCGCACGATTCCACTCATGGCTAATCTAATCGCCATTTGATGGACCGCTTACACCACCAAAAGCCTGGCGGTAAATATCTCTGATTAAAGGGCTCCAGATATTCTCTTTAAGATTAAGATCACTACGCAAGCTTGTCCATTCATGGAGTAATCTGCTTCCTGTGATGATGATTTTTTGGACATGCTCACCAGCACTATCTTCTTCTTTATTATTATTTATTGGTGAAAAAGCTGTAACAATACATTAATCCCCATTTTGCACGAATGTCCGACACAGAGAAACAAAAAAACAAGAAGAAAAAAATCAAAATAAAAAAATCAATTTTTGGAAACGAATTCTCCGTTCTGTGATGTTTCAGAAAAAGAGATCACATGCCTGAACGCGAATGTGATTTCATGCTTACCGTTCTCATGGAATCTTCCTCTGACGTCACCACCACCAGCGCTATACGGTATTTCCTTTCCTTGCGGGAATCTGCGGTCCACCAGTGCCGTCAACATGAGGACTACCATTGCGAAATGCGTACTTGTCACCGTTTCTAATCCGCGACGCCCTGCCCTTCCACTACGAATTGGATATTTGATACCATCATGAAGATTGATTTATCCTTCATACAAATGCGTGCTCATCAAGAAGACCTATCATTCTATTATAGTATTTGCCTGTTTGTCGTCGTTTCAATGTCGTTGCGCTTTATTATTCCACCCCCATTCGGTTGACTGTGAAATGACTCATTCGTTGAGCATCAAATAGTGTTCTGCCTTTTAAGAAACATTCATTTACTCAGTATCAGGAGGGGGAACTAAGAGGTACTCTCCCTTATTGGACCTTCCATCATGGTGCCTTCACAAGGAATGCTGCTGCATAGTAATTAGGTCATATAGGCGCTATCGCAAGATACGAAGGCATTGTGGCGGCAACACATTTGAAATCAAACCTTTTAGAGAAATCTCCGTTTCGTTAAAAATAGGGCTAAGCCTTAAACAGGGGAGGAAAGTCCTCAGGTGCGTGAGCAATTTCCATTTTTCCCGAGGTTCCTGCCCCATCTATATTCAGACCTGGGGGTTACGCTATCATCTTGCGGGAATGCTGCCCGATATCTTGTGGGGATCTAGTTGTGCCACAGTTGATGAATCCACCTGGTTCGATTTTCAATGATGGGAAGATCGATAACGAATAGTCCATATTTTTGTATGACCACAAAGAGTGTGTTACAGGTCGCGTTGCAGCCGTTTGCTATACGGCGCAGCGGGGCAGTCGGGCAGCATCGCAGCAATCAGCGTTGGTTTACACCCAGTATCAAAAGGTACTACGTGATTCTGACCTTCCATCATGGTCGAGTCAAAACCTTTATTTTTGGAAAGCCTTCTCGGGGAATCCGAGTGGGCAATAATCAGGTCATATTGAGTGAGGAAATCTCCGTGGCAGACTCTTCTTGCGGAAAGTAGTTGGGTTATTTTGATGAATCCACCTGGTTCGATTTTCAATGATGGGAAGATCGATAACGAATAGTCCATATTTTTGTATGACCACAAAGAGTGTGTTACAGGTCGCGTTGCAGCCGTTTGCTATACGGCGCAGCGGGGCAGTCGGGCAGCATCGCAGCAATCAGCGTTGGTTTACACCCAGTATCAAAAGGTACTACGTGATTCTGACCTTCCATCATGGTCGAGTCAAAACCTTTATTTTTGGAAAGCCTTCTCGGGGAATCCGAGTGGGCAATAATCAGGTCATATTGAGTGAGGAAATCTCCGTGGCAGACTCTTCTTGCGGAAAGTAGTTGGGTTATTTTGATGAATCCACCTGGTTCGATTTTCAATGATGGGAAGATCGATAACGAATAGTCCATATTTTTGTATGACCACAAAGAGTGTGTTACAGGTCGCGTTGCAGCCGTTTGCTATACGGCGCAGCGGGGCAGTCGGGCAGCATCGCAGCAATCAGCGTTGGTTTACACCCAGTATCAAAAGGTACTACGTGATTCTGACCTTCCATCATGGTCGAGTCAAAACCTTTATTTTTGGAAAGCCTTCTCGGGGAATCCGAGTGGGCAATAATCAGGTCATATTGAGTGAGGAAATCTCCGTGGCAGACTCTTCTTGCGGAAAGTAGTTGGGTTATTTTGATGAATCCACCTGGTTCGATTTTCAATGATGGGAAGATCGATAACGAATAGTCCATATTTTTGTATGACCACAAAGAGTGTGTTACAGGTCGCGTTGCAGCCGTTTGCTATACGGCGCAGCGGGGCAGTCGGGCAGCATCGCAGCAATCAGCGTTGGTTTACACCCAGTATCAAAAGGTACTACGTGATTCTGACCTTCCATCATGGTCGAGTCAAAACCTTTATTTTTGGAAAGCCTTCTCGGGGAATCCGAGTGGGCAATAATCAGGTCATATTGAGTGAGGAAATCTCCGTGGCAGACTCTTCTTGCGGAAAGTAGTTGGGTTATTTTGATGAATCCACCTGGTTCGATTTTCAATGATGGGAAGATCGATAACGAATAGTCCATATTTTTGTATGACCACAAAGAGTGTGTTACAGGTCGCGTTGCAGCCGTTTGCTATACGGCGCAGCGGGGCAGTCGGGCAGCATCGCAGCAATCAGCGTTGGTTTACACCCAGTATCAAAAGGTACTACGTGATTCTGACCTTCCATCATGGTCGAGTCAAAACCTTTATTTTTGGAAAGCCTTCTCGGGGAATCCGAGTGGGCAATAATCAGGTCATATTGAGTGAGGAAATCTCCGTGGCAGACTCTTCTTGCGGAAAGTGGTTGGGTTATTTTTATGAATCCACGACCACAAAGAGTGTGTTACAGGTCGCGTTGCAGCCGTTTGCTATACGGCGCAGCGGGGCAGTCGGGCAGCATCGCAGCAATCAGCGTTGGTTTACACCCAGTATCAAAAGGTACTACGTGATTCTGACCTTCCATCATGGTCGAGTCAAAACCTTTATTTTTGGAAAGCCTTCTCGGGGAATCCGAGTGGGCAATAATCAGGTCATATTGAGTGAGGAAATCTCCGTGGCAGACTCTTCTTGCGGAAAGTGGTTGGGTTATTTTTATGAATCCACGACCACAAAGAGTGTGTTACAGGTCGCGTTGCAGCCGTTTGCTATACGGCGCAGCGGGGCAGTCGGGCAGCATCGCAGCAATCAGCCCGGTATCAAAAGGTACTACGTGATTCTGACCTTCCATCATGGTCGAGTCAATAACCTTTATCTTTGGGAGCCAAAGTATACACTGTCATTTAAGGGAAGAATAAATCAAGGCTCTTCTTTCTCATTGTTGGTTAGGTTAGGCAGCGAAAATTGTGAAAACTTAATGAGATAGGCAGAGACGATAGAGGTGCATACATGGCTGAGAGCGCTTACTGGCAAGCGAAGTCGTGAATAACAGGTGGAGGCACTCGAGCAACATGAGTCTCTCTAGACTTTTGTTATGCACCTTGGAACCAAAAACTCGACACGATATGCACGCTTTTGGACCATCGGCCTTACTTATGAATTTTTCCTATAGCCTGCTAGAATGTGCCCTTGATTTCGGAGTCACTATCAACTGAATTGATACTATGCTGTGGTAGTTACATTAACGGATATTATCTTGAGATTGTTCCATGGTTGTGCTGACTTCGTGATTGAGGAAGATCAAGGTGTACATTCGAGCAACAATTGTTGCCGTGTGTGAAGTTTCCTTATGATGAAAGCCAACGAAGGGCGGCGGAACTCTATTAGAGCCCCCGACTCTTTTGAAGGCAACTTTATATCATTTCTTTAACAAGGCAATCACTTCCTTGAATGTTGATTGTACCACACGAGCTGCTCAAAAATGTACCCCAACCTGCCCATGAGGCCGAAACCCCCTCCCATCGCAGGTTCGTCCACTTTTCAAACTGATCAGCAGTTCTGTTTTCTTCACTGGAGAGCAGGGTCAACCCTATGTTGCTACAAGTAGCAACGGGGGGGGTCGTATTTTGATGAGTTTGTAGAGGGGGGGGTCGTACTTGCTTCGGTTGTAAGAAGTTGCATGTGATGAGTGGGGAGCGGCGCGGGAGAAAATTTGCCGTTTCAGAAGATGGAGATGGTGGAGGTAGGGAAAAGGGGGTCGTATCAAATCCACCTTGGGGGAGGGGGGTCGTAAAAATTTTTCGAAAAGTAGCAACGATAGGACCGACCCTGCTGGAGAGTGCGTTTGCATCTCTGTCACTTCCATAACAAGGTCTTAATCGCCAGCCTTCGGTTTCACCGTATGGCTCCAGGGGATAATTCTATGTATCTTGTTAGAAGAACGAAAACGAGAAATAAAGGAGTAGGCAAACGCAACCCTACGGGCTACCTTAGTAATGACGCAGTACCTACACCCTTTGCACGTTCTATTAAATCTACTTCCCTCATGGAATCTAATCAAAGGTTCTACTCATACGAACCAGATTGGCCGGAGATGATCAAAGAAATTAATCAAGACCAAACTCTACTCTTCTATCCATAAGTCTGAAGCTCTACACCGTATGAACGCAGACGTTTATTGAACGAAATCGGCAAGAAAACCAGGAGAAAACTGTGGGGTAAACTGACTAGAAATGCTGGACACAAACAGTATATTTGAAATGAACACAGAAATATACTCGAGAGACGAAGGAACTGAGAATACTTCTGGATGTAACCGGTGATTTCCTGACACATACGGGGCTAAGATCATTGTGTGACATTGAACATTTTGCTGTCTAATTACATCAAAATAATTATCATTCATCATTCACCATTCATCATAAATATTTTAATAGCTTGGAAACATGAAATCAAAGCTTCAAATAAAAACTGTAATAGGATTACACTCGAAAAGTCACCGACGACAAGTCTCATGGCAGCGATGGCACGAAGTTAGTCGCCCATGGGGGAAACTGGGAAGTTTCCCGACAGATCTGGGCATCCACACAGCCTCTTGAAAACACGACGGACGAAGACTTGAGAATACGCAGACGAAAGGCATTCGCATATTAGTCGAACACATAAAGCTTTAAAACTTATCTCTATTTTTTAAAGTGGGCGGAGTTCATTCATCAAGGGGTGGAGTCTTTCATAAAAGGACGGATGTAACCTCAGAGATGATGAAAATACAAGCACATGACATCAAACATGAACGGATAATGGACAGAATCACATCTGCTAGGGTAACTTTAATCGTGAAAAGAAATCGATAAATCAATATGACCAAAATGCATGTATTACAAACGGAGAAACCACCGTGCGTGTTCTTAACGAAAACTAACACAATAAAACTTCTACCGTATGCCGAATTATCGTATTCGAATCAAGTGATCTAATATAGATCGTGCTCACAGCAGTTTCTCGCATGACCAAATTCCAAGTTTTTCTCTTGGGTTTCACCGGTGTCTAGCAAAAGATCGTCGTGATTGCCTAGAATATGGCAATTAATAAGATGAATAGAAAACTAATAAAATTCTAATCAAATATGATTAGACTCCAAAAGCGCATGTTAATACAAAGGTTCTGTATGTTTCAAATGTTTTAATTCAAAAATCGAAACTTTTTGGAATGGTTAGGAAAAAAATTCAAGCCCTTAGGCAGACATTGGCACTCAACGCCTTCTTTGGGCTCGAAATAGTTCGAATAACTTCTAGCAATTACCAAGAGTCCATAACTGTAACTTTGAATTGAGTGATTCACTGTTTCACCAGAATCGAAAACCACATCTTGGTGAGAACTAGTCAGTGGATCCTAATCCGTTCTCAACGAAGTGGTAGGAAGTTTGTTTTTTAATGGCAGCTGATAAGTCAGTTGGTACGAAGCGATCCACCAGCCGACCTCTGCAAGCTTACAAAAATATTTGAACTATCTCAAGTCTTACGGAAAGCTAAGGGTCAAAAACTCGCCTTAGAAAGCGAAAATTCGGAAAAAAATAGAAAAATTTGATCCTTTGCAGATTGCAAAGATTCAAAACTTTTCCAGAGTGACTGCCACTCTGGGAAAGTTTTGAATCTTTTGAAAAAAAAAACATTTTGGTCATCACCTTGTTGTAACATAAGCATTTGAATCGAAATGATACTTCTGGATAGAGTAGTATTGAAAAGCTCCCTTGAAATCGGTGTTATGAGGGAAAGCCAATATAATCTCTAATGCCGACAGAAAGAAAGAGGAAAGGATGGATATGATACGCCACGGACTGGGTTCTATCCTATACCCCGGAAACGTTGAATATGTAAATACAAATTCAATTCCAGAAGATTAAGTTGTTATTTACAGCTGACTGGATGGATGGCGAGGCCTTTCCCACTCAACTCCAGATGTCTACTGACTACTCTACAGAAGTGATAAAAGAGCCTTATTTGTAACAAGAAGTCAGTCGGGCTTCCGCCGGTGAAACCAATATCAGCAACAAAATATTTACCCTCCCAGATGGGTACACATCTGATAATAGTGGGCCAATATGCAAGAGAAGAGGGTTCTGAACTGGCAGATGAATCGATAAACTCAAAAACAGAAAGCCCTCAGAATCAAAACAGTCATGAGTACTACTTCATGACTCTATTCCAAACGAAAAACATAAGAATCGAATATCACAGAGTGTAAAACTGACCACATACGCTAAATCACCCGTCAATCGCACTCCATAGCCTCATCCTCTCTGGACTCACGGTACGTCAAATAGGGGTTGAAGTTCGCCGGAAGCGAGGTAATTTTAGAAGGTGGTGGCGCCGTATCCGGTACTGAATCTGTAAAATTCAGTGATAACTTCAATCCAGATAATGTATGACAATCCGGAAACTCTCGCCGATTTTCAGTAAAAACCTTCGCCAATGAAAAAAAAAAAAAAAGCTTTTATCCCCCCCAACAATTCTCTACGCTAAACGGTCTATGGCAAAAAGTGAGAGCATTTGGATTCTCTCATGTGTCAATTTCCACAATATAAAGAAAACATGAATGACATCTCAACGCACTCACAGATCTACTGGTTTCGTCTCTTGGCTAGTAATGCCTGGGACTATCTTCGCTTCGGGCTACAGAAGAATGAGAGTCGGATGAGCCAAGTGAACTTCTTCAACAAATTATTGTTACAATATGATAAAATGAGGGACACAGAAGTTCGCTCTATTTTTACCAAGCAATTCATGGAGGAGTATTTGTATAATGCATATTGCAATTTCGAATAAATAAATTGGAAATATGGAAATAATAATCGAGGAGTTAGATACCTGTGAGGATCATCATCGCCGAATCGCATTGGTGTCTGTCGAGCAGACGGCGGTAGTGAAACTGATGTACCAGGTCTAAAAGTGAAAATAGAGGTAGAAGATCGTCCAGAAAACCGAAGGAATGCAGTTTTAATATGAAGCAACTGTCATATATCACAGCTGCCATTGGGTGCTAGTCTTTCAACTCATTTCCCGGATCACTTTCAAGTTAACAGTACGGGCAAATAATTACGGTATGCGATGGAACATCCTGTCACAATTCGTCGATAGAAAAAATATTGGGGCTATTCCGAGGTCTATGGAAAGGAAAAAATTACAAAAAACACTCACGTTTTCTGGTAGTTCGTCAGCGAATTACTGCGTTTTCTTTTCGACTGCAACGTTGATAGTACACGGCTTTGTCGCCGAGATACACCAGCTGAGTGTCGATACAGGACTGGTTGTGGGCGATTTACCTGAATAATTTTCATGTTACAATAGCAAGTCAACTTACTTGTTAGAGTGAAATCAATAGGGTGCGAAAGTTAATATCGCCTACAGCAACACTATTTTACACTGGGGAAGGAGAGGGCTGTGTGTGAAAGAGAAAGAGACATGTTTCACAAAACCCGGGAATTTCCTCCTCTGCGAAAAATTAGAATTTTTCATATATGGCACCAAATGTAGCGTCACACCCCACCCCCTCCCCCCAACTTCTTCTTGGCTCTCTATCTCATTTTATTAGTCTTCGAATCTTCTCGATAGATTTCATGCCACAACTATTCCTTTCAATTTCTTCCGTCAGCTTTCTACACATATACAATAAAAGACTTTGATTGCTTTCGAGTCGCCATTGATGGAAATGCGAAACGTCTCAGACATTTTAGTTTTATACTCCTAGAAAAACACTTCAGTTGTATTCAAATGACATCATCTGACATACTAAATGACTCGGATTTCAAGGAAAGCACAGCTATTTATCAGGGTTCTCAAAATATTTGCGCATGGAAAAGCTGAAGATCTTCGAACGATAGACTCCTTCGTTTATGTAAACTTCATATTTATCCCCACACAAAACACTCGAATCCTCCAAGAAAAACTTTAAATGGAAAGAGATCGTCTCTTCGCAACCAGTTTGTTTAGAATTCACTCGAAACTCACAATCGTATCGAGACTGGTGCTGGTGCAGAGCGGGGGTGGTGGACGAGGCACGTCCACTGGTACCGTTTCACTCGAACACGAACACGCGTTCATTGACGCTGCTGACGGCTGGCATGCGGGTAGCGGAGGTGACGGCTCGGGCTGAAAACCGATCATTATTGAATAAGTATGAACTCAGGGTGTAATATTATGAACGTGTATGTTGGTCTACATCACAAATACATAATATCTCGTCAAAATGCCATAACACGTAACAAAGAAACTCGCTCAAACAAGAGGGACTTCTAATCGCAGAATTAGTGCGCCCCTAGGCCACGCACGCGACGCAACCGCTGTCAAACTTGAAATGACTCCTTTTGGCACCGTAGCTCGTTGCAGATGAAGAAACGCACTTAATAGTTCGCAAAGAAAATAATAACGCCACACGATTTTGACAATTTACTCCTCATTGAGCGTACTGAACCCAATCGGTCCACCTCTTTTGTCAGTTCGACGCTGAGCTTTCATAAATGACGAACACATTGTGTGTCATCAGATCCATTTTTTGATCGTCGAAACCCATATTATCCCGCCAAACAACTCGTGAAGTGTGGACCAGGGATATGACATTCTAAGCGCAAAGAGAGTGAGCTATCTACCAGAAATTTGACGAGGATCACACTACTGTTAGCTTTAACCAACGCGTACGGCATGTGGGTAATTCGTATACAATCGTATTCGTAATATCGAAAATGAACATAGGGCCGAAGAGATGGGAAACCTCGTTTCTACAAAACTATCCGCGACAACCTTAGGAGGAGTCCAAGCTAGTAGAATGGAAGTGAGGTACTGGAAGAGGTAAAGAATGTCATTACTCTTACAGAAGGCGACTTATCAATGACGTATTAGACCCCATTATGGCTCACCCACCGTGACGGGTGTGGTTCACTAGGACAGAAAGCGACTTTTCGCGTTTCGCAGCGCGAAACATTTTTCGCTGCGGGAACCCAGGTCCACTCATGATCAGCGGTGGACCTGAGGTTCCCGCAGCGAAAAATGTTTCGCGCTGCGAAACGCGAAAAAGTCGCTTTGTCCTAGTGCATTTTGAAACTGCCACCCTGCGGCGAAATAATAACGTCTCCTATGACTAAGCCTTAGTGGGGGAAAAGGAACAGATCGTCGCGCCGCCGCCTGGTCCTCCCCTCTATCTGAGTTAGCACCGGAAGTAAAAGCGAAAGTAGAATGGCTCACGCACTCCGAGAATTTTATCTACATAAAAAATTAAAATTTCTGT